ACCATTATTTTTTTATTTGGGGTTTCTATAGAATATTTTGGAAACTTGAGGTTACATGGTTACTAAAGCTTGTATACAGGTTAAAAAAGGGGGAAAATTTGATTGGTTAACTTCCAGTGATGGTTATTTTCTTATATGCAATGAAATGTTATGTGAAATTTTTTCTATAGTACTGGACAGGATCAAACTTTACTCATGCCAAGTATTTCTTTATTTGAAACAAAGATAAATTCTGCACAATTTTTTGAAAAGTGCAAATTTAACAAAGACTAATAGGGGAAAATCAATGGTGGTATTACACCTAATATAGGAAGCTGTACATGCACCTTTGACCTTGTGAGTACTCTCATGTGTTAAAATTTCTTGCTATTTAAGTGAAATATTACTAATAATGAAATATTCTGAGTGGATTGAGTCTCCAAAACACATTTTATGAGAAAATTTCCTTGAAATAGGACTTTACCATGAATATTAGTTGACAGAATAAGCCATACTTAGAGTTTTGGGGAGCTTTTTCTCCTTTTTTCTTATATTCTGCTATACTAGAAAAAATTTTCCTAAGAAATACTTTAATAAATATATAGTTTTAAGTAAATGAAAATATTTTTAAAGCAGTAACAACAAATTATTCACCAAAAGAGAAGCTTTTTATGTCCCTCTCTGGAACGCGGCGTAAATTTAAGTTTTACGTAAGGACTTATTGAAACCTCCTTGGAGACAGTAAACTTTTATACGGATAGTTCATTCAGCTTGAATACTTCAATTAATCATTTATTATAACATTTCTATCATAAATGAGTGAAAGTTACCCCAAAATTTTTATTTATTGGCCTATAAAGTAGAAATTTTGAGGAAATGAGAGGTATAAATGGACCAGAAGAGACCTTATAAGGAAGACAAAGAGGTCCATTGGTAGTATTTATCATCCTAAAGTCATCTTTTGTATCATATTCAACTGTTTGTAGGCAGATGAGATAAATATTTGATCATTTATTGGTCCACACTATATTCTATCATGATGCGGCTTGGTTTGGATTTTTCGAAGAAATTTAGCTCGAATCGCTGCAGATGTCATCTTACATTATACTAGATTTTTCTCAAACTATTGAACTGATTATGACAAAACTTGACAGGAATGCTTGAAATAACCAGTATAACAAAGGAAAAAAGTCACATTCAGTTTATTTAACAAAAAAGTCTTCTTTAGGTGTAATACCACCAAATCATAGTACGTCACATCCGGTTGCATACGAAAATAGGTCGAAAAAAAATATTCCCTTGAATTTGACAGTTGTAGGTAATTGATCCTACATTTCATTGCAGTAAAACATTTCTGGGTCATAAACATATATCTTGGGTATTTCAAAGCACCATTATTTTTTTATTTGGGGTTTCTATAGAATATTTTGGAAACTTGAGGTTACATGGTTACTAAAGCTTGTATACAGGTTAAAAAAGGGGGAAAATTTGATTGGTTAACTTCCAGTGATGGTTATTTTCTTATATGCAATGAAATGTTATGTGAAATTTTTTCTATAGTACTGGACAGGATCAAACTTTACTCATGCCAAGTATTTCTTTATTTGAAACAAAGATAAATTCTGCACAATTTTTTGAAAAGTGCAAATTTAACAAAGACTAATAGGGGAAAATCAATGGTGGTATTACACCTTTAGAACGAATAATTTCAATATTCTGCAGTAATAAGAATTATATTGATGAAACAACGACTGAAAATACAATGTCATCAATGACTTGGTACAGACACATATACAAAAAGAAAGGAAATTTCCATTTTTATGGTAGTTACCTTTCAATACTATTGATCATTGCAGAAATTGAATCTGGTTCATACTCTGTTTTGTCTTTTTTACGGACACAAAGGCAAAATATTGCTAACAAAGTATCCATTTACTTTGCTGATATGTCAAGAAAGTCCCTTTCCTCTCCAATTTCACTTAACCAATCTTTAAATGTTTTAATGTCAGCTTTGGTTCTGTAGAATGTATTCTTATTTACACTTTCTGTTAGAAATGCATCAGTATCCTCCAGCGACACGTTAGGAAATCTGTTTTCCTTGTTGTTTGAAACATGTTCTGACTCTGAGTTCACATTCACCGACGGCGACGACATTTCAGGATTTGCATCATTACGATAGTTGAGCTGATCAAAATATAGAATTTTTTCTGGCAAATTGTGCTAGTACTTCCGTTGCCTCTTCGCTAGTGAAACAAGCCATTGGGTCCCCAATTTCTTTGACAAAGCTTTCTCTGCAGACGACATTGTTGACCTTTTGTATGTTTCCAAAACGGAAACGACAAAATTCCGAAATCAACCGGAAGTCAGTGTCCAATATTGGGTAGCAATACACAGTTAGAAGTTTAGTTTCGCATTATGGCCATGGTGAATTTTTTAAATATGAAAGTTTTTGTACAATAAAATTGATTTTTAGATAGTTGAAGAATAATATAGCCTTCGAAGTGGGTTTATATGAACATTTAGATTGTTTTTAGCATGTTTTATAGGCCATTTTTCTGTTTGACAGTCCGTATTTTTCTATCCGTACCGTCCATAGATCCAGAAATTATAGTAGTGTTTATCAACAAAGATTTGACGCTCGATCTTTTCAATTCAATTTTATGAAAAAACGTGCAGAAAGGCATATGATTTTTTTTGACCTCTTGATAGATAAATGTCTATGGTTTCAGGAAAGGTATCACTCTAATTGATTGAAATTTTCCTTTGGACCAAATTTTGGAGACTTTTGTGACATTTTCACCCCCCTTTTTGCAATATTTTGTATCAAATAAATGCAGATTGTTGCCATGGTTACACCAAAAAGAGATTATATTTCACCTTTTTAACTATTGAAAATGAAATCTATGGAAGATGCTCTTTCCAGAAATATACACATGCATAACACAAATAGTTAGCCTTATTTATTAAATAGAAAGGAAAAGAGGGTGGTTAAAAATTATGAGTATCAATTTTAAGATTTTTTCCTAACTGTGTATTGCTACCTTAAAGCAATTGACAAAATACAGAATTGCTTATTTTTAGATAAATCATACCACAAATCTATTGATATTTAGATTATAGATACAATTCTGAGGGAGAAACAACTTTTAGTATGACAATATATGTTAGTTTTATTGTTTATTGTCCTTAGCAACCAATATAGACATTTTGACACAAAGACTTGGTTTGGTCATAAATTGATACTTTATTGGCTACCCCTAGGAAAAGAAAGAATGCGCGTTATGTAGAAACCTCAATAGGGAACGTTTTATATTTTTTCATGCAAATAAATCAAATTTATTATTTTAGCAAATATAAAGTTACAATATAGCATGAATTAAGTCTAAATTTGTTCCCCCTGTTATAGATTAATTCAGTATTAGCTAAATTTTAACCAAGGCTTTGGTGTGCTAATAAACAACAAAATTGACATTCTAGAGCTTTAAAATAGCTTTAATTTGTAAAATTTGTCTACTGTTAAGGTTAATTTCAGTTTTTAAACAAGAAAAGACAAGCACAGAAGGTATAGTTTTAGAAATTTGACTAAAAAAAGAGAATTTACACTTTGACATGGCATGTTTCTTCAAATCTCTTTTTTGTTGCATATCAGTGGCATCTGCTAACCTTCATAAAATATTCATTTCTGAACCAATTTTCAAAACTAGCAGGCTAATTTGCTCAGCTTAGCTAGCAGAACACAGAAATCAATTTAAAGTCGAATTTGAAAAAAGAAAAATGTTCATCCTTAAGGTAACAATACACAGTTAGAAGTTTAGTTTCGCATTATGGCCATGGAGAATTTTTTAAATATGAAAGTTTTTGTACAATAAAATTGATTTTTAGATAGTTGAAGAATAATATAGCCTTCGAAGTTGGTTTATATGAACATTTAGATTGTTTTTAGCATGTTTTGTAGGCCATTTTTCTGTTTGACAGTCCGTATTTTTCTATCCGTACCGTCCATAGGTCCAGAAATTATTGTAGTGTTTATCAACAAAGATTTGACGCTCGATTCAATTTTATGGAAAAACGAGCAGAAAGACATATGATTTTTTTTTACCTCTTGATAGATAAATGTCTATGGTTTCAGGAAAGGTATCACTCTAATTGATTGAAATTTTCCTTTGGACCAAATTTTGGAGACTTTTGTGACATTTTCACCCCCTTTTTGCAATATTTTGTATCAAATAAATGCAGATTGTTGCCATGGTTACACCAAAAAGAGATTATATTTCACCTTTTTAAGTATTGAAAATGAAATCTATGGAAGATGCTCTTTCCAGAAATATTCACATGCATAACACAAATAGTTAGCCTTATTTATTAAATAGGAAGGAAACGAGGGTGGTTAAAAATTATGAGTGTCAATTTTAAGATTTTTTCTTAACTGTGTATTGCTACCTTGGCCCATGGGCCAATACGGGTTTTTTTTTCGTATTGGCCCTGTTTGAAAACTCGTATTAATATTAGAGAAGTTACATCATCAATATGATACATGCCGATTTTACCGTGATAGGTCATTTTTAATCACATTATTTAATAATCACTTTTATTTTCTTTTGGGAATTGTGTTTTTGTATCTTTTCTTTAAATTTTTTGTTTTGATCCAGTTGAGTGTTTGTATCTTGTAACTAGTTTTGATAATAAAATGAATTACAACAGATCTTTACCGACTCCTTAAGGAGACGACACTTTCCTGACTTTACAATGTAATTATCAAATTGTTATTTCTTTTAATCAAGAAAATCTTGTGCATGAAATTGCAGTGCATTTCTCACTGGCTCCTCTGTTAAATTATGAATATGAGGACCAAAATAACTTCACGTTCATTTAATGAGATTAACAGCTGGAACAATATGTTTGACGCATAGAAAACAATAATGGTATTCTTGAACTTGCATATGTTCAAACGTTGGATATGTCAAATTGACTTTATTCAGAGTCCATGAGCGGAAAATAAAATGTCGAGCTATTTAACTTACTTCCACTATCTGTTGCTGTTCGATGATATCGATAAGATATTTTCTGCAAAGTGCCTCATCTAAAGGTCTCTTCTGAATTCTATCGAGTTCATCCTTTTTTGAGCTGTCAATTTTCATTATATTACTTTCCAGATCCACCCAAATTTGATTGTAACGAATTTCATCGAGTATACCATTAGCGCTATGACTTAAACAATTTCTATATTGACGTAAGGAATCGTAAGCATGTTGGTTTGCAGTTGAGGAACAAAATTCAGAAAGAAAATGACTTGCAAGTGATATATCTATATCGTCTAACCTGATATTGTTTGCCAAAATGCAACAGTGGCATTTTAAAAGAGAACATGAACCACTAGTAACGGTGTACAGTTGTTTAAACTGACGGTTGTCTAGTCGTCCTCGTCGCGTTTGTGAACAGTTTTGTGTATCTGTACAGCATTTTTTGTTGAAGTATTTCATATGAAATAAAGAATGTTTCACATATTGATCATTTAAAAAATCTTGAAACGTTTTGAACCCTCGTGAATAGAAATGACTTTTGATAGGTTGTCTAAATAGAGGTGCTGCCACTTCAAATAAAGCACTCAGTATGATAAATATTCTCCTTCGACAGTCTTCTTCACCCATCCTGAAAAGTTTATACTATTCGATTTCAGTATTGGATATTAAGCATTTTTTTAAGCTTTAAGCTTTAAGCAACCATGCTTGTTAAAAAGGAAAATAACTATGATTAACAATATTAGAATATTACCTTTATTTTCAACAAACAATCAAACTGTATTAATACATCATCCTGTCATAAACAAAAATTGCTTTCAAAGCCTTTCTTTGATCGCTAAGCAGGACTACATTGAAAAAGATTGAAAATTTATTTTAAAATTCACGTACCTTGTTCAAGTACTGAATACTCTGGTTTGATTTTGCGGAAAGATAGTATGTACGATTTTTGATAATGAAATGAGGGAAGACCTATGTGCGGCGCACTTGCGCATGTGAAGTATCAAACTATGCCGATATTTTTCTTATTAATAATTTCCGATAAATTGAGATCTTTGCCTGACTGGCCAATCTTTTTCCATTGTTTTTTTTTTTGGTTTCAAAATGGAGAGAAAGGAAATCAAATAATTATTAGAATCAATTCTTTTTTGTTGCAACTACTCATTAACAATCAAATGGGTTTTGATGCAATGTCACCGACAATGTCTTGACAACGCCCTTTGTTGTATGATGTCAGAGGAGTAAAGTTATCTGATTTGTTTCACATGTGAAATTAATGGTCAATATTATACTGAGAAATCACGGTTTTTCCTTGCAAACAACGTAAAAAAGGTTTTTCGTGAAAAAGTCGGCATAAAAACAAAGGTATTCTATTCTATTCTATTTGAAAAGAAATAAAATATAAACAAACAAACAAACAAAGACCTTTGTGGCTACCTCAATTGAGGGCTCATCAAACCTGACGCCACAAGTTACATTGTGTCACATAACATAATCTAGTTACAACGTGAGCACATGCGTTCTCTTACGTGAAGTAGGAACTGGATAATTTGTTTTTGTTACATTATGCTTTTCTGCATTTTAACATGCCTACAGCAAAACAGAATTTGTGAATAATTGATTAGTCTAACTATCTTACTTTTTAAAACATGTTTAGATAATATCGATAGGTCTGAGCTATTAGTTAGTATTTGACATGGTTAACTGCGATGCTTATGTGATGTAAACTCTTAGAAATGATTAAATATTTTACATGGGCTATAGTATTCTTATGTTTTAAAACTTTGCACGTATTATTTCCCTTCGCCTTTGGAAAATTCAGGTCATTTATTCAAACATTTAAGCAGTAAGCGTGTATGTTTTTGTTTGCTCTAACTTTCATGCAATAACTGTGCAATAGCAAGACCGATGACCGAAAACAATAGAAATTCACTCTTCTTATGAAAAAATCGAGAAAATCAATAGTAAAACAATGCCGGCAACGATATTGATCAAAATTTATTTCTAAACAAAAATCGAACATTTAAAAATAAATATTTGTTAAACTGCTATAAGAAATGCACATGCTATATGTATATTTGTAAATGTTAATGTTTACACGGGACCATTGTTAATTATTTATAATGAAAGAAAACAGCGTATTTGTCTGTCTAGCAAAATAGGAATTTAAGGATGAGTACCCTGTCTGTCCATTCTATGTATTTTTCAATAATACCTATGTGAAAAAAAAAGACATTTATTTCAATTCTGTTTAATTGCATTCAGTAATGTTACTTAAATATATGTTCACACTACTGAGTAGCCACCTGCAGTCATTATGAAAATACTGCAAAATCAATGAGTGTCTCTGATTAAGAAAATCTTTCTAAATCTAAAGTATGTTTACAATTACAATTACATGAACATTAATGATTTTATAGAAATATACAAATATTTGTAGTCATTTATTTAAAAAAATTCTCATAAAAATTATGAATGCCATTGTCATTCTCATATTTCTCATATAATTATACAATTTGTCAGTTTTATTGTATGTTTTTATCATACCTTTTGATGTAAATACTTCAGTGAAAAAAAAAAGATATTGTCTATTGTCTATTTTTCTCGAATGCATCTTAAAAAAAACAAAAAAAAACAAAAAAAAAAACAAAACGCAGCAGTGATTTTTAGTGACTTTTACCGACTGTAAATGTCAGAATTTTTAATGATCTCGGGATTTTGAGTTCTAGATAAAGTTATAAATCTCCAACAAAGTTTCAGAAATGAAATTGAAGTGTTAGAAAAGGTAATGGTCATTCTTCTGATAACTATATAAGACTAACGCAGATTGTGTCTTTGGACTCGGAAAATGGCTCTTTGGTTAATTTAAAATAATGATGGAGTCAACGCCAAAGACGATTCAGTGAATCACTTTATTATTGGAGAAATTACATGTCAATACATTCCGGGATTCAAAATGTCGGCTTCCTTAGTTACAGACAAGGAGATAGAGAATTTTACGCTTACTGTCATCCAATCAGAACCATTGGTACAAAATAATTGCATAAGAATGAGTCATATCTTGCATGTTAAATTTGGCACAACTTTTTGGAACTTTGGGTCCTCAATGCTCTTCAACTTTATACTTGTTTGGCTTTCTAACTATTTTGATCTGATGAGTCTTATGTAGACGAAACGCGCGTCTGGCGTATCAAATTATAAGCCTGGTACCTTAATTTAATAACTTATTAAACAATCTTTTAGTTAATCGTTTCATTATAATGTAAAATTAAACACTTCCTTCCAAATCAAATTGCTATGTTGTCTGACTTTGTCGTATGCTCTTTGTTAATTTATTTTTTGAATTTCATTTTCAGTGTCAAAGCGAACAAATCTGGTTCATATCATATATCTATAAACTGAACTAAACCGTTCAATGGACACTTGTCATTTTGCTTGAAACCCGAAGGATACGATTATGCACCAATATTATTGTCATACAGCACACAGCAGAAATTGTTGCCTTTTTTCAATAATAACTAAATGCATTTTCACTGTTCCTTTTGCCCATGTATCTCATTATATTTCTTTGTATTTATACATCCCTGGATTTTAAATGTTTCGGTTTGAATAATCATGATGAAGGTGAATCCTGAAAAGCGCCATAAAAAGTTTTTTTCGTTAAACTTTATCGGGAGGGGAGGTTTCAAAAATAGTTTTTTTTTAATTCAACCCTTTGGAATCTCTCAAGGGGGTTTAAATGTAACAATAAAACTAACAAGACAAAGGAACAATAATCCATAGATAGTACATGTTGTATGTATAGTTTCAAGGCTAAAATTTAAGAAGTTTAGTTTAGGAATACAATTTTACGTGATACCTTTTGATGACAATAGAAAATCATGGACAGTTCGTGAATACGAAACGATTAAACGTTCTCCTTAGATCCTGTATAAAATTTAATAAAACGATAACAGATAAGAAATAACAATGATTATGGTACGGTAATTAAAACGGTCAATTTTTGAATACCTGCTAGCTTATACTTTAAATTGTTGCTAAAACAGACCTATGTTTTCTTATATTTATTAATAAAATCATCATTTAATAACCGTTTACATTAGATCATGTCATATTAGGGATAAGAAACATAAAAAAAATATTGCACTGGATCGCTACATCTGTCCGTTCTGACTAAAAATGTCAAAAAGATCTCCGATCAATTCAATCAATTTTAATAAAATCAGAAACATTCCGGTTTTATAACATGCTCTTTATGTATACAGAGGCTAATAAACGTATCCGTCGGGTTTGAACAAATGATACAGGTCCACTTGACTGGGTTTTCGATAATGACGATTTCAATTGAAGGAACAGGGTTCAGGTGGTTGCTCATTGATTAAAAAAAAAACTTCAAAATTGATTGTGGTATGCATGGTATGTACAAAGAAAATTTTCATGCCTTCATTCAATGAATTTCCACAGTCAATGTTTGTTGAAAAATTCATAGATACAAAATCTTCACATTGTATGTCAGGTATTAATCTCAATTCACGTAAGAAAGTTCCTGTGTTCAGAAAGCATATCTTTTCAACTGGATTTGTTGTATTGTTTATATATATATAAAAAGTAAAATAACAAAAATACCGAACTCCAAGGGAAATTCAAAACGGAAAGTCCTTTGTAAAATGGCGAAATCAAAAACTCAAATAAATTATCTTGAATAAGAAATAAATGTGTCCTCATTCCAATTGAGGAACGATGCAACATTCTGGTTCCGGTGAATGAGTCACATCTTGCATGTTAAACAATCTTTTAGTTAATCATTTCATTATAATGTGAAATTAAACACTTCCTTTCAAATCAAATTGCTATTTTGTCTGATTTTGTCGTATGCTCTTTGTTAATTTATTTTTTTAAATTTCATTTTCAGTGTCAAAGCGAACAAATCTGGTTTTTATCATATATTTATAAACCGAACAAACCGTACAACCGACCCTGGTCATTTTGCTTGAAACCCGAAGGATACGTTCATGCACCAATATTATTGTCATACAGCACAAAAAAGAAATTTTTGCATTTTTTTTTTTCAATAATAACTAAATGCATTTTCACTGTTCCTTTTGCCCATGTATCTCATTATATTTCTTTGTATTTATACATCCCTGGATTTTAAATGTTTCGGTTTAGATAATCATGATGAAGGTGAATCCTGAAAAGCGCCATAAAAAGTTTTTTTCGTTAAACTTTATCGGGAGGGGAGGTTTCACAAATTGTTTTTTTTTTAATTCAACCCTTTGGAATCTCTCAAGGGGGTTTAAATGTAACAATTAAACTAACACGACAAAGAAACAATAATCCATATATAGTACATGTTGTATGTATAGTTTCAAGGCTAAAATTTAAGAAGTTTAGTTTAGGAATACAATTTTACGTGATACCTCTTGATGACAATAGTAAATCATGGACAGTTCGTGAATACGAAACGATGTAACATTTTCCTTAGATCCTGTATAAAATTTAGTAAAACGATAACAGATAAGGGAATAACAATGATTATGGTAAGGTAATTAAAACGGTCAATATTCGAATACCTGCTAGCTTATACTTTAAATTGTTGCTAAAACAGAACTATGTTTTCCTATATTTATT